GAAGGAAGGAAGGAAGGAAGGAAGGAAGGAAGTCTTCCCAGAAGCTCCCAAATCCTTATTCCTCATTGCCCAGAAGATGGCAAAAGCAACATCTCTGTCTCAATTACATTTAAACTGATACAAATGGCTTTTTCAAAACTTTTGCCAGATTTGTAGGGATGGAAACTGGACAGATGACTCCTCAGAAGGAGACGCAGCCCAACCATTTCTCAGTAGCAGAACCTCCATTCGGTAACAACAGTAGCATTGTGACTGAAGAAGCCAGGGAGGCATACAGACCACTGGAAAGAAGATTGCACCGTTTAGATAGACCATTTTACAGTTTGAGATGGCGGAGGGGGCTACTGCTGGTGTTCCTGTTTCCTGATGTCCTTCTTTCACCAGGAAAGAGGGTCACCAGGAAACAGGACGTTTCTTGGAAATCTGTCTGCGCTTCATAATTTGAAGGATTCCCCTGGGAAGAGCTCTGGCAGGGGTCTTCCCTTGGATTGGAAGCCAGGGAGGCTGCAGACTGCTGGAAAGCATTAGAGAATACATGACACACACCCTTTGGTTGACTCTTATGTGCATAAGTGCAAGAGCATCACACAGAGAAAGTTCCCAAGCTGAATAACGACTGCTCTAGAGGTAAAAACATGCAGGAGAATTTCTCTGCCTGATATTAAATTATACTGAGCCACCACCTTATTCCTTGGTGAGGGAAATTAGAGGCTTAATGGCGGCTGCCCTAGAGAAGAGGCCAGGGGAAGTTCAAGACACTCATGGGGACAGAATGAGGCTTTGGGAAACTGGACACCTCCAAGGAGATCCTGGTTTCTCACTGTGGCCAAACATTTCTGGGAAGCCCACCGGGGTTTTAAAAGCGACTGCCCTTTCTCACTGCTGTCCCCCAGCAATTGCTGTTGGACTAGACTTGTGAAGCTCTGGAAAGTCTGGGGGTGACTTTGAGCCTGTCACTATCTCTCAATCCACTCTACCCCACAGGGTTGTTCTAGTGCTAGGTACAACCTTTTGGCGTTCTAGAGAACAGACAAGCCGTGAATCCACCTGCTGTTAAAGTACAGCTCGAACTGGCTCCAATTTTGGAACAAACTGCCTTTAACAAACCACTTCTTTATGACTTTTTCCCCATTCCCATTTTTCCTCTGCTTCATTGCCTTCAGTTTTCTTTCCCAAATCTAATTAGGCCTGCTCAATCCAGCAACAATCCACCAAAGAGGCTGGATAATCATCTAGCCAGGATGGTGTACTGACTCCTGTGGCAGGGGTTGAACTTCATGACCTCTTAAGTCCCTTCCAACTCTATGATTCTATTCTATGGCTTTCTGTAGGGGTGGGGGCAAACCTGAAGTTCCACATTTTTCAAAACATTCCCATCATGGATAATCCTTTCTCCCTCTTAACTTACTTGTTTCCATAGGGAACAGTAATGCCAGCCACAGGCCCCGTGTCGCAGCCCAGGAAAAGGAAAGAAACGTAGCAAGCTGTGGACACCAGGCTGACCAACATGGCCATCTGAATGGCACCCAGGGCAGAGAGGCTCAGCTTTTTCACTAAGAGGCCGCCCAGGAAGATGCCCAAACATGCGCAGGGAATAGCCGTCATGCCTGTAAAGAGAACAGAAAGTTGCAGAGGACTTGGGCAAAAGCTAGCCAGACCCCTGAGCCTCCTCTCCAGGCAGATAACAGTTCAACGATCCTGCCTATTATGGCTCCCTTTCCAGAAGTTGTTCAACATTATGTAAAATTTAGAAAGCAAGGCTACATTTGAACCAGTGGCCATAGCTAATGGAGAAGTAAATGAAAAGTTTTCAGCCTCTGAATTTTGCTTTCTTGCAAGGCGGAAGCCAACACTGCCTGTAGAAATGCAAAGGTTGAGGCGAACTCCAGCCCTGAGGTCTTCATTATGAGAGCCTCAATTAATTGGATCAAGGTCAGTGGCTTTTCCAATAGGCATTGGATGCTCCCAGGAAGCCCCAGACCAATTCAGCAAGGCCATAAGCCTTGCCAGTTGATTTGGCTATTCCAAGATAGCTTGCCTTCAAGAGTGGAAGTTCCACTTAGCCCTCATAAACATCAGGAGTAGGCAGAAAGTAGATCCAGATCTATCGAGTGAAAATAACCTGGAAAAAAAGGTCTGATTCAAAATGAGGCTGCCAAAACATTGGGGGGAAATGAGAGTGCATTTTCATGTGTGCAATGACTGTTAGCTCAGCTTGAGTTCAGGGTATAAATTCCTGGCAAGGTCAACACTCAGAGATGATGTCATCCTTAGCTGGAAGGCTTTTTTCTGACCCCCTTATTTCTGCCTGACCCACCATCTCAGGCTACATGGATGGGACAGAGATGAGATCTTCAGTCATATTATACAAAACCATTAAAGACTAAGCCAAACAAGATGTGTTTCTTGCTTAAGCGCCAAAGGGCAGAAGTTGGTTTCATCTCCTTTGAGATTTCCACAGGTGGGATGTTGGCAATCCAAGATCTTGTCTTGCATTACCACCTAAATTATTTTAATGATGGGACATCCAACATATCTTCTGAAAATGTTCTTAACCGACACGCATCCTACACGGCTGTGGAATATAGAAATCTTTCAGATACCTTTTAACCCAATTAGGGCTTTTCATTAAGCACTGGCACCTTGAACTGAACCCTGCAAATCAGATGAGGAAGCCATTGACTTAAGACCAATACAACGTAGTCTGAAAAATTTACATCAGAAAGCAATTTTGCTACTGCCTTCTGCATCAACTGCTTAGGTGGGCAGAAGGTGCTACGAACAGTCAAGCATCTAGCAGGCCACCTGTGGAACCCACAAGTCCAAGCATGTACAATGGCCACCAATCCAGATAGCTTTAAAAACCTTAGAGAAATGGGTGGAGAGCAATGCTATCGATGGCTACTAGGAATGATGCCCATAGATTACTTCCAATGTCAGAAATATCTCGATGCTGATTAGTGGGGAAACTGGCTAAGAAACAGCAGGTTGCCACCATGGACAAAGAATGTTGGGTTTCTAGTCTGATCCCATCTCAGGGCACTTCTTTGGTTCTTAGGTTCTGCCTCTGACTGGAGGGGGAAGAGCTGACATCCTCTGGCTACTTACCCAGTAACTGGTTGGCTGACGACGTTGTGAGATTGAACTGCTGTTCTAGGTATTTGCCAAGAAAGGCTGCGAAACCCGCCACCACTGCAATTTCCATGCAAGCCGCAAGAACAATGCAGGTGAACACCGGGTTGGAGAGTAAGTGCTTAGTTACTTTTGGGATCACTGGAAGGGGGGAGAGAGAAGAGGAGAGAGACAATTTCACAATGAGGTTTCTATCCCCCATGCCCTGTTTTAATTTCCTCAGGCATCCTTGATGTCTTCTCCAGACCATCTATCAGCACATCCCATGTGGATAGGGAGAAAATTCCATGGAATGACTCCAGCTGTGCGGACAGAGTCATGTAAGTCTTCCATAACTGGTTCAATTCAAAGGCTCTACTAGATGGAGCTTAGCCCATATGAGTTTAAGCCATGGAATCTGCTCCTCTATCTGCATCTAGGGTAGAAACAGAACCAACAAGAAGAAATGTAAGTGAAGAAAGTCTCCACCAAACATTACAATAAAAAACAAACAAACTTCCTAACAGCTAGAGTGGCTCATTCTCTTATATTCTTAAACTGGATCAGAGGGTTTAATGAGAGGATCAAAGAGTACCAGTCAATCAGAATTAAAACTCCCAAGTGGCCGCTTGGATGTGGCATAAGGCTCTCCTTTCATATTCTCCTAAATTTACTATTGGGGCATTTATTGATTTCCTTATTTTGGTTATCTGTTGGAATATTTCTACCCTATTTTCTTGTTAAAAAATACTCACAGCAGCTGAAGAACAGTTCAAGAGAGTTTAAAACAATGCATCTTTAAAATGAGTGACCAGCCTAGATCAATTCAGCAACAGCAGTAAAAAAAAAAACACCACGGAGGGAGTGGTTTGCCAGTTCTCATTCAAGTGCATGAAAGAGAACTTTCCTTTGAAATGTAAAGGACATTTAAGAAGTAGAGCAACCTCTGGAGACATTCTCAAGGATAGAATGTGATGTCTTTGCTCTACTCAGTTTTGAGAGGGCTATGTTCCTCTCCACCATAAATCATGGTTTACAAACCTCAGAGGCTGTGTTGTCTGATTTAATGCTGGGCACAGAAATTCTCTTGCATTTCTTTTTCCTTGCCAGTTCTTATTCCTTTGAGAAAGGGGAATTAGTTTTTTGAAATTTCTTTCAAAGGAGAAGAGAATATTGGGGAAATTCTCCTGGGCAGAAGATAACGTCCTTCTACTTGCCAAATACAAGGTAGCCAGAAAGAGGTAGAGGAGTGTGTGTGTGTGTGTGTGTGTGTGTGAGAGAGAGAGAGAGAGAGAGAGAACATCCTCTCCTTCATGGCACAGTCCTCTTTCCAGCCATCCACAGACTGTCTTTGCTTCCCACCATTCCATCCAATTCCAAGAGAAGACATCAAGAGGGAACTCTCCCTGGGGCCTTTTTGATATTTGCGCTACGGTCACCACCATGGGAGTTCCACCTCTGAGAAATTGTTGCAGAAGTTTCTCCTTCCCTTAGAGAAATACAATTTTTCTGCCCACAAATGTGAAAAATTATGTCAAAAGTCCATCTGGCCCCAGCTCTAAAAAACCACCATTCCTCTACTTCACTGTATTGTTTTGCATTAATTTTGTTTTGTGGTTCTACCCATTGTTGATTTTGTTGTGTTTGGAGCACATCAACTAAAAGCTACAATATATACCTATGATCTATGTATATATTCCACTGCCAGTCTAACCCAACTGGACTGTTAGGGAGGTACACAGGACCCTCTAGTGACTACTGAATGCATTGCATGGGTACTTAGTTTGATTCTGATTACTGGGTCAGTAGCACAGAACTATGGGAAAGCTAAGCTCCAGCCTAAACTCTAGATATGCTCCAGATCTTGTGTCAGAATGGGCCCTGTCCCCTGTTCTACACCAATGACAGATGACCCACTGGTGCAAACGGGCATCTCTTGTCAGTGTATGTGTATGCGTGCAGGTGAAATCCTTTCTGGTTTTTTTAATTCACCCCAAGATCATCCCCAGATTCTCTGTTTGGCTACAAAACTCACCCAAAGTTTTCTCTTGGCTTTGAAGAAGTGAATGTAAGAGCTGAGAAAATGGGCTTTGCAAAAGGACTCTTCAGCTAATGAGTCAGGCAAAGCAATGTCTACTTGGTTAGGGATTTTAATTCCTCTGGAGATAACTCAGCTTGAGCCAGACGGGATGTTAATGCGAGCAAGAAAAGTCTCGCATCCTTTAATATGTGGTGATACACTCCTGTGCAAATTCCACGTGAGAATCATTACATTTGATAATTATCTTGGTGAAGTGCTACTGAGTCCTCAATGGGGCTCATTTGCCTTTTGCAAATTCCCAACTCCACCCCACACCTACTTCCTTTCTCACCTTGTCTTACATGGCTTAGCTTTGAAAAGCATATTTTTTCTTCCTGACAGTTGATTTTTTCTTGGGATGCTCCAAGGTTTAACTCATCAGCTACCTGAGGTGGGAGTGAGAAAGCAGAGCTGGCCAAGTTGCCCCTTAAGGAGAATGCCAGATCTGCCATCACACCTCCTTTTGATTCTGCCATCTGCTTTTACTTGTCCAAGGAATCCTTTTTTCATAGCCGATTTGAAGTCTGCTGTCTAGAGTTCCCACCCCAGTTTAGAATATAAAGCTTCACTTTGAAAACACTGAGTAAAATGTGTTCATCAGGAAACTATAAGTGCTTCTTCCAGAGGATCCATATCACCTACTCTAAGCCCCTTAAACTATAGAATTGTTCTGTTTTGCTGTTATGGGCAAGTGCCAGTTGGCTAGGCCTAGCAGCCATATTACTTTCCCATCCTATCTCAAAGGAACACTTCATGGAGGCATGGTAAGAAATTAAAACTGTGGCTAGATGAGGGATGGAAAAGAACTTTAATGTGCATTTTGTTAGGAACCAGCTTTAGATCTTCACTTCCATGAAATTCTGGCAAGGATGAGCACTGCCTGAAACAGTGGGATAATGTGGGTCACTTTTGAAAATATATGCTGGTTAGGACCCTTGGTCACACTCCATGGAGTGCTCAGAGTACTTGAAACTTCCTTTCCATGCTCTCCATCTCTTGCAGCTCATAATTCATGTGGCTCACGTGAAAAGTCACTACAGAGCCTGGGTGCCTTTGCTCACAGTGGCCTTTCAAGTGGCATGGTCCTGCACACCCATCCCTAGACAAGAGCAAGTCACAACAGATTATTTGATACTGGAAACACATGTTCTACTTACAAAGGATCAAAAGTTTCTGTTAGAACAAATGGAAAACCTGCTTGCTGTGTCAAACCAAGGCCATCCAAGGAGGTGAACCAGATCAAGTGTTATTTAGTTGTACTTTCAGTGTCCAGGACTAACCCTAACAAGGCTTTATTTTTTTCATCAAGTAGTTGGTAGGATAATTATTTAAGAGAAAGAAGTAAGATGAGCAAGGCAATCTAACATCTGCGTCAGGTAGTGAATCTAGCTAGTCATTAACCTGTTGGCTCCCGCAGAAGCCACATGGGCTATGAAGGAAGTGAGTCACCTCTCAGCTGCTGGAAGCAAGATGGATCATCGTCGGCTTCCATGGAGTGTGGAGGGAGAATCCCATTGCTTGGCTTTGGCCTCTCATAGTCCCCTTCGGGCAGCATGGCTTCCTCTACCTCTGCCACGTGTTCCGGCCGGCGGGTCAGGGACTGTGGGAATCCAAACATCGGGAGAGACGAGAAGAAAAGTAAGGCACCACAGAGCAAGAAGCCAGCCCACCATGCGCCAATCCATCGAGGGTCATCAGGGGTGATATCCAGCTTGCCTGCAAAGAACAAAAAGATGGGCTCTTTACTGGGGAAGATGAGGACATCAGGACCTACCAGGAAAGCACCAGTTTGCTAATAGGACTCAGGAGATGATCGCCTTTGAATGAAACCAAAGGCTGGCACCAAGAAGGAGAGCACCAGCTGGATCAGGAATCCAATCCTCTGACCAGTGCAGGGGTCTACATTGAAGTCTCCCTGATGGTGATCCAGACTCTGTTTGGACATATCCAGTGAACAGGTTCACCATGGTGATTGGGTGTTTTCACTGCTAGGAATAGGACCTGCTTTAATCATAGGGTTTTTTCTTCTTAACATTCAACTGGACTTTGCTTTCCTGTAAGATAAGTTTGTTATTCCATGTCCTTTACTATGGAACAAGAGAAAACAAGTCTTAGCCTTTATCAGGTACTTGGCAAAAGCTATCATTTTCCCCTTCCACTTCTTTCTTCAAGGTTCAACATGTCCGCTTTCCCCACTCTCTTCTTGTAGGACTCCATTTCCAGTCTCCTGATCTTCCTTGTTGCCTTCTTCTGTACCTGTTTCAGGTTCACCGGGTCCTTATAAAACGTGGTGCCCAGAACAGAAAACTCAAAGTGGGCATCTGATCAGGATGATAACTATGCATAAAATTTCTACAAAGACAGGATGGGTTTTGAGGAAAGGGCTTGGAGGAACTGAGGTTTTCTTCCCAGGTATCTGGAGCGATGGTGATGGACACCATTGCGTTTCCCAGTCTCTAAATTTAAATATCACTTAAATTGTCCATGATTGTCTCTATCGCTCTCCCAACTATGCTTGAGGTATTCCAACATCCAGTTTCCTGGCACAGCCAACATTTTTCTACTACCCCTTCAGTGTCTTCACCTCCTGTTTTGGTTGGCTGCCCAGTGAAGGGAAATTTGGGAGCCCTCATTCCCATGAGCCTTGAGGTCCCATCCCAGCTACAAAAAGATCCACAGTGTGACTTTTGTCTACTCTCTCACACCATTCTTTTCCCTTTCCTGCCTTGTATTTTCACTCTCCTCTGCACACCCATTAGGTGTAAAAGTACTGAACCACCATTTGGTGACTCATTTCTTCCCACCGTATGCAGCTTTCTTCCGCACCAGTGCACAACGGAAGGGAAAATAATAAAACATGTCCTAGAGCCCAGCACAGAAATGATTTTTTAAAAGAATGCTGCAATTTATGCTATCATGTTCAAAAATAATGAGGCTATTTGGCCCTGCAGTTCTGCTATACATTTTGCTTTAAGAGCCGTATATCAGGTGTTTTAAAAACAACAACATGAGACCCTATAGAAAAGAGGGAAATATGATGGCTAGCCAGTGGGGAGCTTGGATTTTCTTAATAGGAGTGCTTCCAGCAAAAAATTTATTTTTGCAATTGCTTTTGGATATTATAGAGACTCTCAACTGGCAATACCTTCCTCTTGCATTTCTCCCACATTTCCCCATATCTTTGTCCATCTTTGTCTCTTTCCACACACAGGCACACCTAGGTGGGAAAGGTGGAAGAGCAGCCCACGTCTTCGTACTGATGGCATTGCAAGATGGCCATCTAGGAGCAACCTGTGTAAGTGACAGAGAGCGAGCAATTCTGGAAAAAAACATCTAGAGTGGCATTAGTAAGAAAGAGAGAGAAAGAAGTGGAGAGATTGTAGACCAGAGGTTTCTGCTCCATGATTTCAAACCCTCACTTGTCTGGCCAGAAGGCTGCACCTAAACTTTCCGGGACACCCCATGGAGTGCTCTTTACAAAATCTAATAGGTTGGGCCAGGACAGAAAACCAGATTTCATTTCACTTGCATTTCTGGTGAATTAAAACAAAATATAGGTAAAATGATTACCCTTTGGTTATACATTTAAGAATCGCCTCGGCAACTTTAAGATGTGTGGACTTCAAGTCCCAGATTTCCCCAGCTTGATCTTTGTAGCTTCCCCTGGCTTCCTTGCTACAAATAAGTAGCTGGGTTTGCACAACACCCTAAACCTGGGTTAATAGAACACCATGGCAATCTTCCTGTAACATCCTGTGCCCAAGCAAACAAATCATGTTGTGGCTTAAGGTGATGAGCTGGTTCACAAAGCCTGTTAAGATAATGATGGGTATCTATAGATGCTGGACCCAAAACTATCCACCTTATTTATCCTAGTCCAGTGTGTTTTGCAAACCAGCTAAGGTGCTGCTCTTATTGGCATGTAATACTTACTAAGCTTTGTCCACATGGTGGGTGTGATGCAGCTTCTTGGATGGTGCTGTCTCTGATTGCCACATGTAGTGGGCATGTTCATGACTGACCATTAGGAGACCATGTATAGCCTGCCCTCACATGGTAGGGAGTGTATATGACCATGCATAGGTAGCCCCATATGTTAGGTCTCATATATGTATGATGGGTAGGGGACAGCCTATGCCTAACAAGTGCCAACAGAATGCAACTGGTGCTTTCTAGTGGTCAGTAGAGAAAATAATGCAAAATTATTTAACAAAATACCACCTTGGGTGCAGGCCTTAAGGCTTTTAGTATGAAGCCCAGACAAAATTAACAGCTACACCTCTTGAGTCTGAGTGCAAATGAGTAAGAAGGGAAGGTGTACCATCCTTAGCATCTACACCCACCTTTCTTTCCATTTTTTCAAGTGTGTGTGCTTGGACATGTGCTTTTCTACCATTCCTGATGCTGTGAAGTTGAACTTCAAAATGGTGTTTGGGAAATGGGGCCTGCCTTTCAACCGGCATGCCTCTGATAAGGTTGTAAGTCCTCCAGTTTCCTCTGAAAATGTCTGCTCTTCTAGCCTAGTCCATTTCAACATTTAATAACCAGATCCGATTATGTGCTATATTGCTCACCCTAGCTAGAAATATTGATTTCCTTGCTTGTCGCAGCATAAAGAAACTGAGAATCATGGCAAGCGCCATTGAAAAGGAAGATTCTTTTTAAAACTTCACTTTGGATATAAATGATTTTCAACATGGATCCTGATAAGAATGCATTTGGATGGTATGATCTTGGTGGTTTGATGTCAAATGCTAACGGGACAAAGTCCAGCTCATGTTTTGCTTTCATTGCAGATAATTTCAGCTTCCTTTTAAAGTAGGACAAAAGAGGTTCAACTCTTCTACATTTCTTTTAATTGATTGTATAATGCCCCACTAACTCACTCCAGTGTACAGCCAGAATGTTTTTTGGCCTGCAGCACTTCATGGAATTATCATGCAACCCTGAAAAGTTACAGGGTTACATGATCAGTTCAGGAAATGCATGGATAACGCTGCTAACAGCATGCAGGACAGTATAACCGTCAAAATAAAAAAGATGTGAGAATCTGAACCAGCCCTTTTCTTTAAAAGTTAATCCACCCCCCTATTCTCATTTACTTTTCTGCAGGTTTTATTAAAATCCAAGAGAAAAAACTCTCATCAGCCTGGAAATCTGCCCTCTTGTGGAACAAATAGAGTGGATTTATCCTAACCTTTTCCAGAAAAAAATCATATGGTGGCCTGAACTGGGTGGGAACTACCACACAAGGAGAATGGGGATTCTAATCTTTATTCCCAACCCCTTTGTTTGCTTAAAAAAGGTATAATCTTTCCTGTGTTTGCACAGGCTTTTTTTAAAAAAAAGCTTCCCTGGAACTTATGAAGTTTAAGTTCATGTGCACATCCGTGGGCGCACTCACCCCCCCACTCCTCCGGAGAGTTCTTTACAAAAGCAAAATCTGGAGAGGGGAAGTTGGAAATAGATTGCCCTGTCCATGCATAGCAGTCTCAGTTCAGATAGGGCCTTTGTGGGATCTAATGTGTGAAGATTTCCTCAACTTGACCCCGACTGCTGGTGATTTAATGGGTGTGTTCCTGTAATTTTCTTGGCCACAGTAGAGCAGTGGCCTGATGTTCAACTTCCCAGCTGAACGTAGAATCCTTGGATTTCCTGGTGATCTTCCATCTTACTTTTTCAAGGTCAATTAAGATCAGCTAAATGTTCCCAAATGAATGAATAAAAACTCAGACAAGCCAGATGGCATGCAGAGCATCTAGTTTCACCTGAAATCTTTCAAAACACAAAGGTTCCCCCCCACCCCTTCCCTTCTGGCGCTACATGGCCTGTTGTTCAAAGAACCCTCTCTTCTTATGTGCAACCAGGGGGAAAAAGTCACCTACTTGTGTCAATGAAGACAGCATCCACATAGATTTTGGTACAGAAAGATCCCAGGATAAATCCACAGGCTGGTCCAAACACCAGCATTGTAAACAGGATCCCTGCAAAGAAACACAAAACAACACAATGAAGGTAAGAGAGGGACCATCCCATGTCTGGTGCTGGTGGGAAACTTCATTCTGGAGGGTGCTGGAGCTCACAAAATTGAATGTTGTTCAGAGATCTCCAATTCTGCAAGGCAGAGAGTAGAATTCTAACCTATCCTTCTGATCTACTAGTTTTGTAAATAATTTTGTTTAGGTTAGCGCTCACTCATTCAAACAGAGCACCTGGTCCAGCTCTTGTTTTCAAGTTATTGCAGAGATGAACAACCTGAGAATACCCCATTCCCTCATCCCACCCTGCTCCACTGGAAGGCTTAGATGCAGCCCTCCAAACTGCAACTAAATTGTAATTTTTAATGTGATGGAAAGAGAACACAACTAAATACACAGAGCATGATCATATTGAAATATGCCAATTAAAATTTAAATGAATGTGAAATTAAATCAAATTTAGTTTTGATCCAGCCCCCTCCCATTTCTTTCTTCTAATCTCATCAATATTCACTGACAGCGGCTCCCAACACATTAGTCAAATTCCTAATTATAAGATAGCTAGGCAAATTATTCCGAGCATCTCAGCCCCTGGGATGTCTCTTGCTTGGCAGATAATGGATGCATTTCCTATGTTACAGGACCAAGGGGCTAAGAATGACCTCTAGCTAACACATAGAACCACCACGTTCAGAGGCAGTACAAGTTGAGGACCAGCATCAGGCAACAGTCCATGTCCCCCTTCTGGTTTTGCCAGAGGCATCTGGGAGTTGGGCAGCATATAAAATTAATACTTCATCATCATCTGGCTGACCATCGTTTGAAACAGAATGCTTGGTGGACTCACTTCAATCTGATCCTGCAGACCCTTTGTGGTTTCCCGATTCTCATGTACAGACAACAGATTTAACCTGGTAACTGAATTAACCCAGTTTGCACAGTACATTGAGCCCTGAACTAACCAAATGGCATGGGTTTGCACCACACAAAAGTCCAAGTTAAATGAATGAAGCTTAGTATGTTGTAGAAATGCAACACCTAATGCCAAGTTAAGCTAAGGTGAATCTAAAGCTTTGCAGCTTAATTCAACGGGATAAAATACTGAGTCTGTTATTACTTTAGAGCTTGCCTTGAGAAAGGAATAATCTAAAATGTGGCAGAAAGGAAAAGAGATGAACACGTGGGTTTTGATAAAAAATACAATAGCTGTTGTGGTTTTTCTCACAGTGTTATTACTTGTTATTATGTCGTCCAAGTTAGCCTCGACTTCTGGCAACTACATGGACAAGTCCATGCAGTTTTCTTGCCCAGATTTTCAAAACTTTTTTCCAGGATGTTTAGTGATACCTAATCTAGGGATGAGAGAGAAGGATCAGCCCAAAGTCCCACAGAGATTTGGCTGACCCAAATTCATGCAGGAAGCTTCCATGGTTGAGGGGGAACCAAAATGTGGGTTTCCCCGTTCCTAGTCCAGCACCTTCACCCCTGGGCCACCTTGACTCTTGAGCTGAGAGGGAAGGCCTGGAAGGACTGTTGGTGGGTGGGTGGGGTGGGAGATTGATATGATCTGAAGAGAAACCAGAATCATCCAGCCATCTTCCATGCCTAAGGGAGAACTGGAACCTGGATCTCTCAGTTCCTAATCCAACATCTTTAATCACTACACCAAACTGGCTCTCTGCTCCCCTATACTTCTAAAAACCATCTGATGGACTCATCTGAGCTGAGCAGGACCTGAATCTGTGGTCTTCTCCTGCAAACCAAGCACTCTGGGCTCCTGGTCACCAACTAATTTTGGTTAAGAGTCAGGTAGAGATTCTGATGGGCAATGATGTACACATTTCTCATGCCTTGGTGTGAACCATTTCCGGTGTCTTGCATGTATGTACACACATACACAAAGAGAAGTGAGGTGCCAAGGGGGAATAAAATCTAACTTATCAATGTGCTTCAGTCTACTTTAGTATTGTTCAATTAACTCTATAGACTTACGGCCCATTTGTTGCCTACCAAGGGTGCAATGTGTTTATGTGGGCTGCTATGTCCTCTCTTTCCAGTAGTAATGTATGGCTGTGAGAGCTGGACCATAAAAAAGGCTGAGCGCCAAAGAATTGATGCCTTTGAACTGTGGT